GCATTTTGAGAACCATTCAAACGAGAAGAGTCACCTTTGTCTGCCACCTCTTTGTTCTACGTTAAATTCTTCTGGATGGTGGGGACGAAGCCGTTTCACCTCCAAATTTCTCTAATTAGTTTATATATGATTAATTCTTAAATCTCAGCGGCACAAACAGTGAAACACACAGCACTCCAAACACACACCGTGTATGAGGTGGATTGGGTCGTGTTGTTGCAGAAAATAGAACGCGCCTAACAAAGGCCCAGTGGGCGCATAGGTAACTCTGTCACTGGGGGAAAGTGTGTCGTAAACTTTCACCCCATTGTCAGGGCTGGGAGAGCGTGAGCCCTCTGTGCAGTGATATTTTTTTCAAGTCTTCTACCTTTTTACAAGAGGGGTTTCATTACGGAGAGACCGTGGGAACTGGCTGGTTGATTGCTGAGCCCTAAAGACATTTGATTGGCTGTTAGGTTACTATAGTTGAAAGCGGGGACAACAGTGATTGGATAAACGAACAAGCCGCCTAGTTGATCACTCTGTGTTCATTGCTGTCGATCAGAACAGTTTCAACTGCTTATTTCGTTATTTTCATTTGCCTTGGGATAGACTTGGGTGGTGGGGAGGGGGGCTTAAGTCCGTGAGCCCTTCACTACCCACCGCCACTGATAGAGAGGAAGGTAGGGAGAGAGCAAGAGAGGGGGGGGGGGGGGGTAGATAGATACAGTAGTCTCCGCCTAAACGCACGGTGCTCGGGGGGCTCCTTAGCGTGTGTCTATACGGAGCGTGCGTTTACATGAACCCTAGCAAAGGGAGGAAGGGACGCAGTCATCTATCTCATTGCCTTGATATTCTAGTGACCTCCCTTTGGGGTGGGGGCCCCTTTGGACCGATAATGTGACGACACGTGACTGTTTTGTAAAAGATTCCCCGACTGCGGTTAAGACTTTAAAGGCGTTGAATGGGTGTGTGTGTGGGGGGGGGGGGGGGGCAGAAAGACAGACTCGATTTAATGAGTGCACCATAAATTGTCGGGAACCAATAGCCTCAAAAGAAATTGTTTGTGATAGTCATAGAGACGACGGCCCAGCCACGTGGCTTTCCAAGTGACCACCCCCGACCGTAAATTCATGAACGAGCATTCATGCGTGTTGCGCATCATAGGCTTAGGTCTAACTAAACATTAGCCAACACTTAGTCACTCAAACACCAGTCAGAAACCTTCTCTCAAAGAGATGCATTTCCAGTGACCAATCAAATAACGTTTCAGTCCCCCAAACCCCCAACATTATTTCACCGACCAGTCCTAGACCTAGATCTATGTGTCTGTGGAAAGTTGGGTGTGAAAACGCTGTCCATCACCCTCTTTGTTCGGCGTGAGAGGAAGTCTCGCCAAATATCCGTTTTAGTGAAAATTTCCCTTAGTCAAGCTTTACCTGTCAGCGTGTTTTGCAGTTCGGAGCGTGCGTTTAGAGGGAGTGACCGTGCGTTTGTACGTCTAAATTATATAGATCTAGTTTTTTAAAAAACCGTCAGATGACAAAAGCGTGCGTTTGAGCGGAGCGTGCTTTTATATGGCATGCGTTTAGGCGGAGACTACTGACGACTGTATTGTTTTCTTTCCAAATACGCAAAAAAACCTACTGATACTGATATGTTCTGTTTTCAATTTTTCTGTACATAAAATATGAAAATTCTGGTTGAAAAAGTGCAAAACATGTCGTGAATGGCGTTACGGTAACTTGCATAATTTTTGCCTAATTTTGCATTTGTCTTGCATAATTAAATTTGGCCTTCTAAATGTGCATAATTCTGCGGGGGCAGGTAAGCAGAATAAGACCGACTGTCGCTCGTCCGAGTGTTTGATGTGAACGCGCGGTCACCAGACCTCGGACGAGGCTTGTTTTGAAAGTAACAGTAACAGCAGAACTACGAATATTATCTATTATTTGCATGTCGTAATTGTAACAGTTATCAGGCTATCATCGCAGAATTCTGAGAGCGGGCAAAGATCAAACTTAGAGCGAATAAACTACTAAATCCGGCATCGATATTTCGGAAAATAATGCTCCGAGTTCCTACTAACAAAAAGTTCAGGTTCAACAGGTGCTTCCCGCGACTGAGAAGAAGGCAGAGTAAGTTTTCTGAAAAATCTTGCGCAACAGTAGACTGGAACAAAAAAAATCGGGATACACGTGATTGAAATCGGGATGCTTGAGATTTGGGGCAAAAAAAATCGTGATATACCGACAATCGGGATGAGTGGCAGGTCTGAGTATCAACCAAAGAACAAAGTGCCCATTGGGGGATCGGATTGAGGGTGCAAAGCGGTTATTTTTGGTACAAGCCGATCGCGCCCGACTCGCCTAAAAAAACAAACGCGTTTGTTTCCAGGCGACGAGTCGGGCGATCATCCTGACCCGACCAGACCAGACCCGATCCGATCCCCAAATGTGCACCCCACATAATTGAAAAACAGTACATGTAGATAGATAGATAGATAGATAGATAGATAGATAGATAGATAGATAGATAGAGATTGAGAGAGAAAGAAGAGAGAGAGAGAGAGAGAGAGAGAGAGAGAGAGAGAGAGAGAGAGAGAGATTTTCTGGAATCTATATCCACTGTCAAAGATAATAGTGTATTCCAGTACCTGCAGTAGGCCTACTACCCTACAATTTAATTCTTCAACTTTCAAATTGTTATTGTTATTGTTATTGTTTCAGGAAGCAACATCCCTGCACTCCGGACATGTCCATTGATGCTCCGTTGCTCTCTCCAAAATGTTGCCGAGGGTCCTTCTACTGATTGTGCCAGTGCACATCTGGTTGAACGTTTTTCTGTTCTTTCCTGCAAGGATGCCAGATTTTCCGCTTCCTTTTTTTATTCCCAAAAGCATCATCCTCTCCACGGCAGTACTGGCCTCTGCCTCCCTATCTTCCTCCTCAATCAGCTGGCGAGAGAGACATTTCAGGATCTCGACCCTATCTGGTTGAACCGTATTGTCAACTAAGATGGCCTCACCAGCCAATCTGTCGGCTTTTTCATTTCCCCTAACACCTGCATGGCCAGGGCAGAAAATCCATGTGAGTGATCGTATAGGCGTTGGTTCGATAGCTTGAATCCATTCTGTTCTCAGGAAACCTTTTTCGATCCTTCTGAGGGTACACATGGAATCAGTGACAAGAACAGCATGGGTTGTGTGGGGGTGATCTTGGGTCATCCAATCAAGTGCTTTCGTGTTGGCTTCAATTTCCATTCGCTTACTTGATATAGCCCTGCTGCAGGCTCCAGGTGCACTGTGTATGATTTTATTGTTGGCGAATGCAACAAATCCCCATCCACTTTTCTGGCTATCTCTTTTCACTGTATAAATTGTATCTGTATAAATTATAGGATCCCCTGCTTTTGAGTTTGTGTCAACAATCTCGTTGATATCGCTCTCGTTGATTGCAGCCGCAACATTTCGTCTGTCTCTGCCCATGCTTATTTTGACCTTGGTGAGGTCCCTGTATTCTCCGGCCACCTGTTCCCATTCTTCGCCTAGTGGTAGGCTCTCAGGTACAGATTGTTCTCAGGGAATCCTCTGCTTCCGCCATCCAAGATTTTCCTCTCTTGATTCTGACTCTCCTGTAGTCATGAAGTGCTTTGTGAAGTGGGTGATCCTTCTTGCCCCTTACACTGAGATACATCTTTGCCTGAGCTATCCTATGGCGTACTCTGATGCCACTTAAACCTAGCAAGTAGCTCATGCACAATATTGGAGTGTCCTTGGTGCAGCCCAGAACTGCTCTCATTGCCTCATTCTGTACTCGATCCAGCTTTGCGATCTGTGTGTCGGACAGCATGAGACAGCCCAATCCGTAATCAATGACAGACAGGACGACCAGCTGCAACATCAGGAAGAGCACTCTTTGCGGAATCAGAGCGGCCGCCATGGTCTTGATTGCACCAACACCTCGTTTGGCCTTTGTTACTACATGATTCACATGCTTG